CCACCTAAAAAAAGACCAGCTCTCATGCTTATGCAGGAATCTTCATCTGATGAAGACGAAGACTGGATCGAGAACTGTGTAGAGCGCTACAAGGCAGAAACCACCATTGGTCTTGAGGACTGTCCTCTGGAATGGTGGTCCAAACATGAAGGGGCACACAACAAGTTAGCCTGTCTTACTTGCAGGTACTTGGCAACACCCGCTACATGTGTAGCATGTGAGAGATTATTTTCACTCTCTGGGCATGTTGTTCAAAAGAYGCGAGCTTCACTTTCATCTGAAAATGTTAACAGGCTTGTGTGTTTGAGCAACTGGTTTAGTGCAAAGACATAGAAATAAATGTGAAAAGAAGTGATGTGCAGTGCAAATGATTGCTGCTGTAGTTCTTTTTCAGAGCAAAGGGAGGCTTAACAGCGTGAAAAATATTTAAGCTTTAACCAAGTTACACTGTTGTAGTAGCCACTCTTTATTGTACATTTTGTTTTCATGAATATTTTATTTAAGAAAAAAGAAAAATGGAGTGTGACTTTGTTTCCTCCAATGTCAGTTTAAACTGAATAATTTAAGTTTGAGTATTTCATGGTCAAAGGCACTTTATTTAATTTTTTTTAAAAAGTACTAAACACTGAGTGCAACTTTATTTTTTCCAATGTCAGTTTAAACTATGAATAATTTTATTGCGTATTTTGTCATCAAAGGTGTACTTCATGTTTAGTATTTTTTAATAATAAAAGAGAGTACAACTTTATTCCCTCCAGTGTGACTTTAAACAGTGTGAGATAAGTAATTTAAGTTTATTAAGTCAACTTTAAATGGCTGAAGTACTGGTTACAGGTCTGTTCTGAGTTATTTTATATTTCAGTTAGGAAGTCACTACACTGTGTTAACTTTAATATGTAATGTATTCAATTCATCATGGCCAGAGTTTGACATTTTATGCTGTCAGCCTGTTTTTGTTCAGATTTCTGAGTAGTGTTGAAAAAATAAATTACTTCTGTAAAAAGCATCATGTCTTTCTTTTTTGTCTTAGTATGCAAATTAAAAACTTCAAAATAGGCTTATACAATTACCTTAATGACCACATGAAAATATGCGATTAACGGGCGATTAATCGCGAGTTAACTATTGGACTTATATGATTAATTGCGATTAAATTTTTTAATCTTTTGACAGCCCTAAAACAAACAACCAAAGGTAGGCTGTGGGCTGATGTATATTTGTGAGACTGGTACATAAATTTGTTGACCCTGCTGCAAGAAGTGTTTGTTTTTGACTTACTAAAAGTATTTAAAATTAAGAAGTGTTTGTTTTTGACTTGAGGTAAAAACTGTGGCAGGACACACCCCATCATGATTTTTGACTTAAGCTGAACAACATGGAGGTGGGCTGTCTGACTTGAGAGGTGGGCTGTCTCATTTGAGAGGTGGGCTGTCTCATTTGACAACCCATTCTCACTCCCGAGTCGTCACATATTGACGTTTTTCAAAGGTCCCTTTGCGTCCAATTTTGACGCATCAGGTACCCCCCTTGCGTCATATTTTGACGGGATGGGGCGGAATCTGTTGTCGTAATTT